TGCCTCTCCGCCCCCCGCCGGCCCCCTCTGTGTGTGACGGGAGTAAAGCCGTCCTCCGCCCCGGTGTTCTGCGTTTCCATCTCGGCCATGCTCGAACCAAGTGGGCACAACCGGCTGAACACGCGCGTGGTAATACTGCACACGCGCAAGCCTCCGCCAATCAACGTGAGGGCACCGCCCTTTTCTGAGGTGGGGCCCAAGTCGGGGGCCTCAGGCGGGATTGGTCCGCGTGTCTGAATGGCTGCCTTACGGTATGCCTGATTGCTTGTGTCGCCATACCGCCACGCGCTCGCAGCCGAAGCATTCTCAGCCTCTAATGTGTCTATGTGTAAACGTCGTGGTAAGGGCAGTAAGTCAGTTTGTGCCGTGTGTGGAGAAATATCCGGTGCGGCCTCGGCAGCTCATACGGCATTATCATAGGCACCCAAGCCCAACTTGCTAGAGCGTCCGGCTAGAGTGCGGCTAGGGAGGGACAAACCGCCCCTGCGATGTTTGCAGTCTGGTTTCCAGGTTAGCGTTTGTCTGCATCTGCACCATGTCCGCGTTTGAGAAGCCTCAGATCATTGTCCACATTCAAAAAGGCCTCAACTACACGGTGTTCGACTGCAAATGGGTGCCCTGCAGTGCCAAGTTCGTAACGATGGGCAACTTCGCTCGGGGCACCGGCGTTATCCAGGTGTACGAGATCCAGCGTGGGGACCTGAAACTGCTGCGGGAGGTGGGTGCAGCATCGGACTTCTGTTAGGGCGCGCGTGTTCTGGGGTCTGCATCACTCTTTGCCACAGCTTTGCTCCAACAGGGCCAGAAAGGAGGTTATAGACTGAGAAATACTTCGGACTTAAAACTTTGGCATCCCACAATCTCACTGGGGAACTAGTACCTTGGCTCACTGCCAGCCCCTTGTCCCGCCATCCTTGGTGCAGTCCGTTGCAAGGTTTCTGGGAAGTGAAGTTGAGATTTCATGTTTACGTTGGAGGACCTTTTAGGCTATTTGCAATTGTAGTCTGCTAGTACATATATGCAATACATGCAAGCAGAGTGAAGGAGGCACCGGGACACCTACGAAGTTTGTGGCGACAACTAAGTACCCCATCCTTTCTAGAACTATCACTTGAATGCCTGGTAGTCCCAGGCATGTGAAGGGCAATGTCACGGATCTTATGGAGTTTATTTACTGTTGGGGAGATAGTTAAACAGCCAAAACAAGAACGCATACATGTAAACCGAAATGCTTTTTCTAATAGACAGTTGAGCAAGAGTAAAAACAACAAATTTAGGGTGAGCAGAAACTAGGGAAAGTCAGAGTAGATCATGAGATTTCCAGAAGAAATAGGTTATGGGAAAGCTCTTTGATAGTGGTAGGAAGTAGTTTATTATCTTTTTAAAAAACCAAAAACACACACTGGAAGTGGTGGTGCACACCTTTGATCCCAGCACTCCCGGGAGGTAGAAGCTGGAGAATTTCTGTTTGAGACCCTGTCTGAACAATCACAAAACCCACTAAGAAAGATCATACACACACAAGAGGGGTAAGTAGGGACCGTTGCAAGGGCTCTAAGACATTTAACAGATTTAGTCTCCCTTTTCCTCTAAGAAAAACAGGACAAGACTGAAGGACTTTTAGGAGGATGGTACAAGACCAGATTTACAGGTTTTGTAAAAGGCTGCCAGTGAGCCAATTACAAAAGGATGAAAATAATTAACATTTCATTTTCTTTCTTTTTGAGATGAGTATTCTCTGTGTTATCCAGTCGGCCTCAAATTCACAAATCTCATGCCAGCCCCCAACAGTGGTCTGGGATTACAGGCCATTTGCTATGTTGCTGAGCTTTGGCTAACAGTTTTATAGTTTTAAAAAATTTTTAATTTGGATTGACTTAAAACAAATGACAAGTCTCATGAGATGTTGAGGGTTGGTAAGTATGCAAATAGTTGGCTTGAAGGAGGTGAGTTTAGGGCAGGTAACAGATAAATAAACTTTCATGAGAAGATATGTGAAGTGCCATCTCTCACTGAGCTTTGCTGACAGCCCGTTTTCAAGTTTAGTTCCTACTCTAGCCAGGTATTCAGCTTGGAGAATCTAAACATGGCTTGGTCTTTTCTCCCTTGCTTGTGTTCATCACTTAACTCACAGACACCTGTTGCTGTTCCAGCGGCCAGCTCAGAGTCTCTGATCTGCACTCCTATAATACTTTCCTTTTGTGCCAGAAATAAGCAAACTGTCTGATCTGTTGATTCTAAGTTGGACAACAAGGACAATGTCTCCTAGTGATTTGTAAGGACCAGCCACTCAATGCACAGTTATTAAAAGAATCGGAAATGAATGAACTTGGGAGTTTTAAATACTGGTGTAGGTTAAGGACTCTGGACATGGGAAACATTGGCATAACAGAAACTTTGAAGTGGAATGTTAGGAGCAAATGCCAGTCAGTACTCAGCCAGAAGCATCTAGAGACTGTGTTTTGTTTTCCCAAGAATTATGATACATTTTAAAAAAAATTTTGCAGGTTATTTATTATGCCCATTGATGTTTTGCCATGGTTGTTGGGTTCCCTGGAACTGGAATTACAGACAGTTGTGAGCTGCCATGTGGGTGCTGGGGATTAAACCTGGATCCTTTGGAAGAACAGTCTGTGCTCTTAACCACTGAGCTCTCTCTCCAGCCCCAAATTATGATACATGTATACATTTCAGTAATGGTTATTCCAAATGAAATAGTGTTCTCCTCTTCTAATTTCTGAAGAATTCTAGCAAGATTATATTGTATTTTCTTTAAATAAAAGTAATAAGTATTTATAAGAGAACATTTAGAAAATATAGGTAGGGCTAAAAAAGAGAGTATCACACATGATCTGAACCCCAGGAGTAACAACTACTGTTTTGGATGCTCTTCATTCCATGAGTTACTGAGGCTCCTATAGAGGTGCTGTATCAAAACAGAACCACAGGTATTTGAACAGTTCCTTCTAAAAAGCAAGCAAAACCTTAGAAACAAGGTGCCTTTCAGAACTTAATATTGTATTTGGGTGCAGCAGAAAAACATGCAGGTTAAATGCATGGACTGTGGCTCTCCTGTGTCCATATTTGGTTGCTAGTGACAGCTATGTAAGTTTTAAAATATCCATGTCTTGTTCCAACCCCTAGCAATGTGAACTTCTGCTGGTTGAGTTTTGTGAGTGCCAGAGCTGAGAACTGTTGGACCCAGTGGATTACTTACCTCAATAGGAGAAGACATACTGATTTTGTTATGATGAATTACTACAAGACTTGCTCCAAAGCCAGTGTACCCAAGATACATGTAAAAAGAACTCCCTTGGGCTTTATCTTACTGCTAAAGGAATGGATACAAATGGAGAGCAGGAACATGGGCAGTTTGGCATGCATCATTAATACCAGCACTTGGGAAGCAGAGGCAGGAGGATCTCTATAAGTTTGAGAACAGACTAGTCTACATAGTGAGTTCCAGAACAGCCAGGGCTACATAGTGAGAACCTGTCTCAGAAAGCAAAAAAAAAAAAAAAAAAAAAAAAAAAAAAAAAAAAAAAAACAAATAAATAAATAAATAAAAAGGGAGTGTAGGGGACTGGAGAGGTTATTCAGTGGTTGAGTACATTGGCTTCTCTTCCAGATGACCCAAGTTTGATTCCCAGCACCCAGATAGCAGCTCACAACTGTCTGTAACTGCAATTGTAGGGGTGCTGGGGTCTCTTCTAGGTTCCTTCAGCACCAGTCATGCTTCTAATACACAGGCATGTATGCAGGCAAAATACCCATACACAGAAAATTAAAATAAATAAATGGAGGGCAGGTCCTCCTTCTCTAGCTGAACACTTTTGAGTGTCTAGCCAAGTGTCCCTTCATCATTCTTAGGTGAGACTTGAACTTCTCTTTGTTTTTGTTTTTGTTTTTCAAGACAGGTTTTCTCTGTGGCTTTGGAGGCTCTACTGGAACTAGCTCTTGTAGACCCGGCTGGTCTCAAACTCATAGAGATCCTCCTGCCTCTGCCTCCCGAGTGCTGGGATTAAAGGCGTGTGCCACCAATGCCCGGCTGACTTGAACTTTTCTAATGTATACAAAGATAGCCATGAAAAATGAAATCCTGGCTGAAAGTTGGTAGTGAGCTACTGAAGTTTTGGTGTTTTAGTGCCTGAGCTACTGATTTCACTGGGTGTTAACATTCCCCTTACTAAACCTTTTAATGTTAATTAAATAGTGCCAGGATGTGGAGGAGTAAATACTGACAAGCTGCAGTAGACCCGCCCACAGGCAGAACAAAAATAGCTCTGTGACAATTATTGATCATGGGCTTCTTTAGTCATGCTAACATAATTCTGGCAAAGAATATAAAAAACTAGGCCAAGTAAGCTATTACTGATGGTCATGCTCAATATCATACATTTATCAATTTCATATGCTGATTTTTTTGTGACATAATTTTAACCAAATGGATCATTGTTTTAGTTTTAACCAATTAGTATTCTATCAAAGAATAGAATTCTATCACTGAATTCTATTTGCCATCCCATAGAAAAAAGTATTTAACAGTGTTGGAAAGAGAGTCCTTTTGTGTGCTGTATGAATCTGTGTGTTTGTGGTGTCCCTTGCTTACTGAGTTCTGTGAATGTCTGAGAGTGGAGGAAACATGACTGGTTTCTGAAGTCCAGGTACAACAGAGTTCAGCCTCTCTGAGCAAAGTGTTTTTAGTTTAATTCTTCAACAATAAACTAGTAATACCAAAGTTTCTGGGTTTTTTTGATACAAAAACAGAAACCCTAAGGGAAGCATGATACTATGTATTTATCTTGCAAAAAATATGAAGTGGGGGTTAAAAAAAGTGGAAAAATCTGAAATTAGCTTTCATTCATTCCTCCACCATTTTGTTCACTTTTCCAGGCTTAGATTTTTTTTTTTTATACTTCTATTAACTCAGGCTTGCAGAATGGGGCTGTGTAATGAAATGTTTGTTGGTATCACATACTAGCCTTTAGGCAACATTCCTTAGGGAAAAGAGCTTAAAGTTTGCCTGACTCTTGGTTATGAGTAAGGGCTATCACTTCTCATTTTGAAATGGTATCCCTGGGACTACAGTATGGCTTAGGGATTATTTGTTGTACAAACATGAGAACCTGAGTTTTAATCTTTAGTGACCATATAAAAAGCCAGGCACATATGTGTACATGTAACTCCTGCACTAAGGAGGATGGAGACAGCGGTTTGCTGTCAGCCAGCTTCGCTCCAGGTTCAGTGAGAGACCATGCCTCCAAGGAATAAAGCAGATAATAGATCTGGATACCTGAAGTCCTTCTGACTACTGCATGGATGTGCACTCCTGCACACACTACACACACACACACACACACACACACACACAAGCATCTTTAATGGTTTACATGATGCACATGTTTTAAAAAGATACTTTTTTTGGAGAAGGCATATAGAATGATGTCTGTTGTCATATGCTCAGTATTTGAAAACTGTTTTTGTGATTGTGCGCAAATGAAACCAGACACCATCTTAGACCCATAGTACATGAAAACCCAGAGGACAAAAAGGGAAGACGGGGAGAACACTCTGGTGCTGGCTTCTCTGCCCCAAGAATTGGTGCTGAAGGACAACAAAGGCTTCCTTAAACTCTCATCCAGAAAGTAGTGAACACCTACTAGGTTCTCTAGGTAGGACTAAAGAGGCTTGTGGGCATTTTTGTCCCTGTAGCTTCAGGAAATAATAGCTCCATTGTGTTTGCATTTCTCCTGAGAACTTTGCACAGTACATATTGGACCTTTTTACCTGCACACCAGGAGATGTTAGATCTTCAGGATTATGGGAGGACTAGGTTAAATCAGGGTCTCTCTCTGTAGCCTCCCTGGCCTGGAGTTCACTGTCTAGACTAGTCTGACCTCAAACTCACAACAGCCCTTCTGCTTCCATTCTGGAGTGCTGAGGCTCGAGTTGGCAGCATTTGGCTGTCTCAGTGAGACAAGAACAACACAAAATCATTTTCTCTCTGCCCATCTGCCCTCTCAATTCCCTGTAATCCCATGGTGACACAAGTGTCTGGATTTTAGACCAGTTTAGATTGGTTGTGGCTTAGACAACAAAGTGAGAGACCATGTCTCAGACTATCAGGCTGGAGAGATTGCTCGGAGGTTACGGTCACTGTACTCTTTCAGAAAGCCTGGGTTTGATTCCCAGCACACACATGACAATCACCTGTAACTCCAGTTCCAGAGGATCCAATGGCCTCTTCTAGCTTCCGAGGGCACTGCATACACAATGTGCATGGACATACATAAAGACAAAACACCTGTACACATAAAAATAAATAAACTCCACCCCCAACCTAAAACAAAACAAAACAAAACACAGCTAGATATGGGTGGTGCTGCATGCTTTTAATCCTGGCACTCAGGAGATAGTGACCTAGACCTCTGAGTTTAAGGCCAACCAAGGTTACATAGTAAGACCCTGTCTCAAAACAAAACTTTTTGATAGTGATATGTTTTTAAATTATACAAACTTGACTAAAGAAAGAGTACAATAATTTTTTTATCAGAAAATGTTTTAGGTGCCTTTTTTTGCTTGTTTTGTTTTGTTTTTGAGACAGGGTTTCTCTGCGTAGCTTTGTAGCCAATCTTGGCACTTGCTCTGTAGACCTCCTGAGTGTTGGGATTAAAGGCATGCACCACCACTTCCTGGCTAAGTGTAATATATTTATACCCCTACCCAAGCAAAGCTCTGTAGACACTGTGGCTATGAATAACTGTTTACATGAGTAAAGTGTCCTCTCTCCTTTCTGTCCAGATTGAAAAGGCTAAGCCCATTAAATGTGGAACATTTGGTGCCGCGTCTTTGCAGCAGAGGTACTTAGCTACTGGAGATTTTGATGGAAATCTTCATATATGGTGAGATTATGAAACAGTAAACTAGTGGTATCAGTTTCTCTTTGATAGGGTTATTACTCTTGAAAGAACTCTAATTTTAAAATACTTCTTTCAAATATTTTAATTTCAGCAGGGTGTTGGTGGCACACACCTGTAATCCCAGCACTCGGGAGGCAGAGGCAGGAGGATCTCTGTGATTTCGAGGCCAGCCTGCTCCCTAGAGCGAGTGCTAGGATGGGCTCCAAAGCTACCCAGAGAAAACCTGTCTCAAAAAACAAAAACAAAAAACAAAACAAATATTTTAATTTCTTCCAGAACTAACTAAAACCATGAGGACTGTTTGTTGTAATAAATATACTTCTGTGTCGTATTCGGAGTCCTCTTACAATCCTGAACTCCTCGTATTACATTTAGGAATGTGGATAACATTTAGGAGAACAATGAGCAAGCAGACCATGAGTGGGAAAGAAAAGGAGGGGTCTGTAGGAGGGTTTGAAGAGGGCAGGGGAGGAGGGATGATATAATGTAACCTCAAAAGCTAAAGGGCAAAGGTATAAAATAATACTATGTATGCTCTTTGCTTTAGAACCTGAAACAGTGTTACCAGTTCTTATCACTCACAGGCTGTTTGGGGCTAGTAATTAATGCCATTTTACCTAGAGGTTTGACATTCTAGAGCGATGCACTCATTTTAATTTTTCCATGCAGAACTCCCAATTAAAGTTTTTGTTAGTATTCAATGCTTTAAGATCGAGGCACAACTTTTTAGGAAATTGTCTATTGAACAACTCAAAAAAAAGCCTGCATTGAGTGAACAAAATTACATTGTATCTGTTGCTTTTATATAATATCTTACTTAGGATTATGACTTAATAGTTAAAGTCAAATGAATTCAGATTGCTTTTTAGAAAAATCTTATCTATAACATTTAAAGTATATACCAGTATTTATTTATTAGTTTTTTTTCTTGTGTGCATGTTTCTTTGTTTGTTTTCTTGTGGTTGTTGCTTGGCTGGTTGGTTTTAAGACAGGGTTTCTCTGTGTAGCTTTGGATGTCCTGGACTCTAGACCAGGCTGGCCTCAAACTCACAGAGATCTGCCTGCCTTTGCCTTCTTAGGTGCTGGGATTAAAGGTGTATACCACTACACCAGTTATTAGCTCATTTCCAGTCTGAGTTTTTGTTTTTTGTAATGGGCTTCACCATGTAGCAGTGGCTGGACTGGAGCTCACTATGTAAAGTAGACCAGCTTTAAACTCATGGGGATCTGCCTGCCTCTGCCTAGTGATGGATTAATGAAGTGGGCCACCACACCCAGCCTAATAAGACTTTGATTATCACTTAGATTGTGCTACTTTATAGTTAAATTCACGTATTTACCTAGTTTAGAATTGTAATATCAAAATGAAGCTGCTGTAATTTCTCCTTGATCTTAACTGCTTAGCTATTAAAATCACATTTATTCATCATTTCACATACTTAGTCGTAGAGTTTCAGAGAAATGGAAAGAGAGGCCAATGTCTTCTGTATTTTATTTATTTTCATTATTTTGGGGGCTCAGCATGTAGAGTGGTAGGTTTTCGTTACTTCATTTTCATTGTCTTTGTCTTAGGTTAAAGTCTTTGATCCATTTTGAATTGTTTTTTATTTATCTTATTTTGAACTGATTTTTAGGCCACGTGTGATAAGTAGCTATGTTTTTTTGCTTAGGAATTTGGAAGCTCCAGAGATGCCAGTGTATTCTGTAAAGGGCCACAAGGAAATTATAAATACTATAGATGGTATAGGTGGACTTGGAATTGGGGAAGGAGCGCCTGAAATTGTGACTGGCAGCCGGGATGGTGAGTCAGCAGATTTTTTTTTTTTAAAGATTTTATTTATTTATTTATTTATTTATTATGTATACAACATTCTGCTTCCATGTATATCTGCACACTAGAAGAGGGCACCAGATCTCATAATGGATGGTTGTGAGCCACCATGTGGTTGCTGGGAATTGAACTCAGGACCTCTGGAAGAACAGTCAGTGCTCTTAACCTCTGAGCCATCCTCCAGCCCGTGTCAGCAGATTTTAAATATTAAACAAACATGTAATGGAAACCTCCATGCCATGGAATGTCCTCTCCACATGGGATCCTCTGCATCTACCATTTGTGCAACTGCATTTTGATAAATAAGTTATATTGTACATCCTTCGTTTGTTTCAGGCTTATGTATTTTCAGGTGAGTCATAGCACTGAGTATTCTAGTGTGGGGTTAGTCCAACAACTAATAATGAACTGGCGTTGAAAGACTTAGAATGTCTCTACAGGCTTCTGAAGCAGCCAACGATGTGGTAAGTATGGGTGGCAGCTTTCTGTTCTCTTTTTAAAAAGCAGCCACTGCTTAGGAAAATGTCAGGTTGACAGCTACCTGCAGACATGTCCTGTGATCTGTCCCCTGAGCACTGCAGAAGCTCCACAGGCGCCAGCTTGGCTTCAGCTATAGTGACCAATAGACCAGGTCTCAGTGACTCCCATAGGGTTTTTGTTGCTTTACATGGAGACATATCAGTTTTTTAAAAACTATTATTTTAAAATAAAAAATGAGATGTAGTTTTTTAATAGTTACTCAAGAGCAGTGGTATGTTACAAATTATTTTTCTGATGGGTGGTGGTGATGAATGCCTTTATTCCCAGCACTTGGGAAACAGAGGCAGTTGGATGTCTGTGAGTTTGAGCCCAGCCTGGTCTACAGAGAGAGTTCCAAGACAGTCTCCAAAGTTACACAGAGAAACCCTGTTTTGAAGAACAAACAAAAACAAAAAAAGTTTTAATTTTGTATAATGAATCATTTTTATGTTCTTTGCTAATTCAAGTGTGGAAAACTTACTGTAGATATTAATGGTTCATGTAAACCCTGCAGCTGAGTGGTAATCTCTATCAGATTTGTGGGGGTCCTCTCCATGGAGGAGAGAGCCTTTTTAATGACCAGCTCTATCCCTGGAGAGAAGTCTTAGTTTCTTTTCTCTTTTAGGGATTCTTTTGCCCGGCCCTGTTCTTGCTCACAGCCTTTAGCTATGCATTTATGTTGATTCGAGGCAGTGTCACTAGTTAGTAATCCTATCATATTAGTTGATATAAGAGGGTTAAAATTTGATTTAGGTCAGTTTTTTTTCATAGTTCCCTCCTCACTATTTTGTGATAGAAAGTTAAGTTTCATTACATGTGAAATGGGTGGTGTTATTTCTTCTGATGCCCACAAGTGAAGCTGGGACCTCATGCGTGCTGGTCACTCTGCCATGAATTGCCTCCCCCAGCAGTTGCAATGGCATTCTGAAACCCCATATAAAAAATGTAGTAACAGTGCTTATATGTGCAGTAAGGAAAACATAAAGCTAAAATGACACTTCCAGTCTTCTAAATACATACATTAGTTTGAGTACTCCCCAAGAAAATAAGGCATGTTTTGAATTATACACTTGTCTTTGCCTTGTCAATATAATTTATATTGACAAGGAACACTTGTTAGGTTTTTCTCTATGTAGCTATTAATTTAGGAATCATTTCTCATATAGCATATGGGTTATGGCTGGTATCAAGTACCAATTGGAAGTCAGAAAAACATGAATGGTTTTCAAATGTTGTAACATCTACAAATTGGCACATGCCACATTGGTACAAAGACTGCAAACAGGAATTGTGATTAGTCACTATTGAACTTTGCCAACTCCCTTTTATTCATGACAGGAACTGTAAAGGTGTGGGACCCAAGACAAAAAGATGATCCTGTGGCTAACATGGAACCTGCACAAGGAGAAAATAAGAGAGATTGTTGGACTGTGGCATTTGGTAAGTTACTGAAGAGATAATTGCATTTGAAGTTTGTGATTTGGGAAATTCCCAGTAGTCTCCAGTAGTCTGTTCTGTAAATTATTCTGAAAGGTTATCCTGGCAAGTATCACAGTAGCTAATATCAGGCTCAGGCTAGGGTTTGCATTGTTACTGTTCCATTTATTGTGTGGCTTGGAGAAAGTCACCAAATTTTAATGTTTCTTGGTTATTGTATTCACACAGTGGTGCTAATAGAATTTGCTTAATAGTGTTGAGGCACCATTGAGGTAATACTACTAAAACTCTTACAACAGCAGTTCTCAACTTGTGGGTCACAAACTCTTTGGTGTGTCTAACGACCCTTTCACGGGGGTCATCTAAGACCATCAGAAAACACAGATATTTTTATATTATGATTCCTAACAGTAGCAAAATTACAGTTATGAAGTAGCAATGAAAATGATTTTGTGGCTGAGGTTTACCACAGTATGAAGAATAATATTAAAGGGTCACAGCATTAGGAAGTTTGAGAACCACTGTTTTAAAATAATCATAGATTACTGAATGTTGAAAATATTTACTACTATTATGATAGGTTTTGTTTAATTGATATTATTGACCTATTAATGCTATTAATAAGGCAAAGCGAAGCCTCAAATGCAAGTGATAACCTAAGAAATCTCCTACTATGTTTTACATGGTGTGTTTATTTTCTAGAAAATAGTATGCCATTGCATAGTTATTTCTTATAAGTCTCATAACTGTGTCTCGTTATTACTTTTTGTTTGTTTGTTTGTTTGTTTTTTTCGAGGCAGGGTTTTTCTGTATTGTTTTGGAGGCTGTCCTGGAATTAGCTCTTGTAGACCAGGCTGGCCTCGAACTCACATAGATACGCCTGCCTCTGCCTCCCGAGTGCTGGATTAAAGGCGTGTGCCACCAACGCCCGCTTCTTTATTATTTATAATGCATATTGATCTTGTCAGTTTTGGTGCTTGTCTTTGACTAAAAGATTGGGCCAGAGCCCAGGCTAGCTGCAATTACAGACATGTATTGCTGGCTGCAGCTCCATATTTAGTTTTAAACTTGTATTTTCTTTTTGATCAGGCTAGTCCCAAAATGGCAGAGATTTTTCTGCCCCTGCCTTTCAAGTGCTGGGATTAAGGCATGTTTGTTTTTGTTTTCTTTTGTTTTGTTTTGAGACAAGATCGCACTGTGTTGCTCAGGCTGGACTTAGACTTCTGGACTCAAGTAATCCTCCTGCTTCAGTCTTTTGAATAGCTGGGACTACAGATGAGCTCTGCCATGCCTGGCTTTAGCCTTTTTTTTTTTTCTTTTAATAATTGCTGTGAACATGCAGTAATGAAACCGATTCATATTTGAGCCCTAAGCATGTGGTTCAGTGAAGAAGGGCTGCATTCACTTTCCTTACAGATAAAACAGAAGTAATAGAACATTACAAGAGGCATCTGTCCATGCAGAGAGAGGCAGAGGGAGAGACCCAGAGGGAGGAAGATTGTTTTGAGCTCAGACCAAGGATTCATGGGATTTCCATTGCTAAAACTGGGAGAGAAATTTCAACATAGGGAATAACTGCAAAGTGCCCTGGAAGGGGATGGTGGAGAAAGTGGCCACAGAGATGGCTCTAGCCACAGTTACCATAGCCACAGTTGTTTGAGTGGATTGGAGGTAGTGGTCGGCCTTGGAAGGTCTGTGTTCATAATGAGATCTGGTCTGACTTTCAGATGTCACTGGTGATGACAGTAAGGCGTGGTGAAAGGCATAATGGAAGTGAGTTCAGTAGGTTTAGCTGGGTAAAGAAGGTTTGGAGCAATGAAGATGATTCATGTGATAGGTACTGAATAAATAGGATTTGCAGTTCTGTATTCATAATGATCATGTAGGGAAAGATGGTCCTCATTGAAAAGTTCCACAAGCAGTCTGAGTGGTAAGGGAAGACCGGGAGGTCAGTTTGGCACATAGCATGAACAAGATACTGGTACCATTAAGAGCTCACAGTGGGGAGGTAGGGAGGAGAAGGGGGGGAAGCGGGAGGAGAGAAGGGAGGGGGAACTGGGATTGGAATATAAAAAATAAATTAATAAAAAAGAATATATTTGTATACATCAAGTCAGGAAAAGTTTTAAACTGGATGTGAAGGAAATAATAATCTGCAGGTACAAAATTGAATGTCAGTAAGAATGTTTCTTTGGCTTAATGCCAAAGTCAAAGAAAGGCTTTCCCACAAAATGATCATTGTTTGCAAGGAACTTAGTATGGTTTATTCAGCCCCATGGCATAAATGTCTATTAATCATAGATGTCTCAACCATAGAATTATCAACTGCCAATCTTAAACAAACCAAAGTGTGGGTAGCTTTGTCCCCATGCATTTGATTTGTATAAATTCATTTGCTGTACCAAGGCTGTGCAAATAACTATCTGCCATGTAATTGAAATGTTCAGTGCCTTCCTAATTATGATAAAACAATAGTAGAATGTAATAAAAATTAGGAATATAAAAAAAAAAAGAAAAGAAAAACAAACAGAGCTCACAGTAGAACTACAGGCCCGTAGTTTATAAGTAGGAATCTGGAGGTCGTTGAGATTGAAGACTTTGGGGTCAGGCACTCAGAATGATAGCCTTCCACACTGATAGGACCTTCCTCTCCCCTCACATTTTGTTTATTCAGCAAGAGATATGCAGGAAAACCATCTGGAACTAAGCATGCTGAAATTAACTTCATTCTAAACTCTAGATATGGTCATTACACCAGTAAAAATGCACTCCAATTCATTACAAAGTTTCTGCAAAGATAAAATAACCAGAAAACTATTCTGAAAAATATCAAAATATTTTTAAAATAGTATTTGCATTCATATATCATTACTACCAAGGAGTGAAAAGAGTAAGTGCATGTATCTTCCCAGGCCCTACTGTCTGTGAACTGTAGCTGGTCTGTCTTTTCAGATTTGTAATGGGTCATAGGGCTGTGCACCTGCTAGACAAGCCCTGAACCATACCTCCAGCCTGAGAGAGCATTTGCTTTCTATTTAGAATCCGTAAATACTTTCAAGTAGACTTTTGTCATAGAATTTCAAGTAAGCATTTTTTTTTTTAAATTAATAGTTCTCATCACCCGACAGGATTGATGAATGGAATTATCCCCAGTATAGTTTTTAAAATTTAGATCTGTCCCAAGTTATGTGTGTAACAGTTTTTTTCTTAGCAGACTTCACCTTGGATTTGTGAAGACCTGAAATGTATCTTGATTTCCAGGCAATGCTTACAATCAGGAAGAGCGTGTTGTTTGTGCTGGCTATGACAATGGGGATATCAAGCTGTTTGATCTCAGAAACATGTCACTACGATGGGAGACAAACATTAAAAATGGGGTAATGTGCATTTCTGTGCTGTTCAGATTTTCTGAGATGTTTGTATCTACTGTCTATGTCTAGCCACTACGAAGTTCTCAGACCCCTTCTCTTAAACTGTGTCTCTCAGTCTTCTACCAAAAGTTAAACTTCTAGGGCCAAACCATCTTGAATCGAATGGCGGCAGTGAGTGCATTCTGTCTTAAGAAGGTGTTCTCATATTCATATATTGTTTGTACAGTGTCTTTGGACCACGGGGACTACACAGAGGATATCAAAATGAGCAAATAAATGGAGTAGGAAAAGTTTCACCAAGCACCTTTGGGCTTTGGTTCTCAAGCTGTACACCTTTGTTAAAGAATTTAGTTCCTTTCTGATTTCTGAAGGTAGACTTGACTTACCTACCTGTGCTAAATAATGAAAACATTGCATTGTGACCTTCTACTGAGCACGGGAACCCAAGATGGTTTTGTTGGTTAAATTAACAGAAAATATACTTTGCTATATTGATTCAAAAGGTTTAATAGCTATTCAACTGCATGGTCTTGTCATTTTAAGTCATTCAGATCACTTAAAAGAGCCAATAAGATCTGGAGAAATCGCTCAGTGGTCATGAACACTAACTGCTCTTCCAGAGGACTGGGGTTTGATTCCCAGAACCACATGATGGTTCACAACTGCCTGTAGCTCCAGTTCCAGGGATTCTGACCCTCTCTTCTCGCCTCCCTGGGTACCAAGCACACACCTGGTGTGCATATATGAAAGCATGCAAAACATCCATACACAGTTTTTTTTTTTAAAAAAAAGTAGGGGCTGGAGAGATGACTCAGCAGTCAAGAGCACCAGCTGCTCTTCCAGAGGTCCTGAGTTCAATTCCCAGCACCCACATGGCAGCTAACAACTGTCTGTAACTCCAGTTCCAGGGCATCTAGCACAGACATACATGCAGGCAAAACATACCAATACACACACAAAAAAATAAATATTTAGAAAAAAAAAAGTAAAGAAAGTAAGAACCTATCAGTAACAGATATATTTTCCACTTTCAGGTGTGTAGCTTGGAGTTTGACAGAAAGGACATAAGTATGAATAAATTAGTAGCTACATCTCTGGAAGGCAAGTTCCACGTCTTTGACATGAGAACACAGCATCCCACCAAAGGCTTTGCTTCTGTTACAGAAAAGGTAAATGAAAGACTCTCTGTGGAGAGGGTGATGGTCGTTCTAGACTAGTAGGGAGAGTGAATCACCGGGAATCCAGGCGTCCTCTGTCATGTGTTTGTGGGATCCTAAGTGTTTTTGTGCAGGTTACTTTTCCCAAGGTTGCCAGGTTTAGACTTCTCAATTTTAATAACTATCTTGGTTAGCTAGGAATCTTATTTTGTTGTTAAAGAAATCTTGCTGATGCCCAGAATTTGATCAGGAAATCCAAGCCTGGTGTTTTCTAATAAATATATACTTATTAATAAATAATAGTGTACTTTCCAGAAATAACATTTTCACTATGTCATTTCATCCCATTTTATTTTATATTCTGATTTGCTTTATTAAGTGAACTTATTTTAAAACACTGGTTACTGTGGTTAGGACAGAATAGATATTCAAGAATGTTCTGTTGTTTATACTTTGGCTTCTACTTAAGAGAGCTTAGTGGGAAAGGCTTTTCATTTACAACGTTAGAAAAATAAATAAGGAAGAAAAATAAAGGGAAAATACCCGTCACAAAAAAAGAGAAGATGTCTAGAATAAAGCAGCTACATAAAATCCATGTTAGCATCCAAACACTTGCAAGAGACAGATGTGGAATGTGGTCCTCCCCGCCGTAAACATAAGAAGGAAAGCAGCTACAGGTTGATTGTTTCCGTAAAATTCAAATGTGCAGTTTATTCAGGAAATAAGTTACTTCCTATTCTTTACCCCTCTGTGGATGCCCTGGAACTTCATTCATTTCCTGCTACCCCACCCCTACCACCCAGTGTGGATGCACTGGGATTTCATTTATTTTCTGTTACCCCTCATTGTGGATGTTAGGAGATTCCTTCCCCCACTGTGGATGCTGTTGGATTTCACAGAACTTTCTCCGTTGTGCTCTTGTGTCATCTTATAGTAATGATTACAAAACATAAATTGCTAGTGTCAGATGAACTAAATTTGTAACAAGGTAACTACAAACTGTAATATTATTTTGCCATTGTCATTTTAGAATATAGTTAGTATATTTTATAGTCCGCTATTTCTAAATTGTTCCATATTTTGTTTGCAAGCCGCTTCTTATCTGTATACAATAGTGTTTTCCCAAGTTCATTTGGATAGTGTGAACCTAATCACTTGGGGCTTCTCATACCCTTATGTTTTGAGATTCATGTTTTAATATGCTAATGGTAATGCTCTCAAATGAATATTCAGATCAATGACAAGAGGTATCATTCAGGACTGGAGAGATAGCTCACTAGTTAAGAACACTAACTGCTCTTCCAAAAGATTCAGGTTCCCAGCATCCATGCCAGGCTGCTGCCAACCCCCTGTAACTCCAAGTCCAGGGGATCTGATGCCATCTTCTGGCCTCCTCAGGCACTGCACTCATGCACAGACTTCCCAGGCCCCTCTGCCTCATTCACATAGTTGAAAATTAAATCTCAAGATGAATAGTCACTGAAATGTGAAATGGCTTAGCTCATCATAAAGCAGCTTCACTGCTAATACAAAGCAGTTGCCCTCTCCTGTATCTGCCTACTTCCCTGGATCTCTCCTTCCTCGCTCAGCTCTCACTCCTCATGCCCACCCCCTCCCCCAAGGTGAACCAGCAGTCTGGAGTGGGTTTGCTGATATGAGTGAGGTACTGATAAACTGTTAGTCTTTTCCACTTGCCTGTCTTTATTTTCCTAACAAGTGCATTTTACTTTTTTTAATCTAGGGAATATGTTAATGCAGTTAAATGATTACAAAAATAAATCAAAAGGCACTCAGATATGAAGGGTATTCGTTACAAAGTAGGTACAGCATATTGAAACCTGTGTCCTTATGCACTGCTACATTCAGCCCACTCTCCCAGTGTCTTGTGCATGCCCTTGCTTACCTCTGTCTGGTTTCCTTTTTCCTATCAAATTCTCCCCTCTTCTGTACTCATGTCCTGTATACATTCCATCACTCTCACTTTTCCCTTCTTACCATTCATTAGCATCCCCTCCTTCCCCTCATGGTCTGTCCCAACCTGCAGGACATTAACCTGGGACAAGAGAGTCAGGGATAGGGAATGGGGACAAGAGACGCAGAAAGAACGACCACAAGACAGGATTCTGATCAAGTGGCAAACTTTACTTTTCTTAGGCTAGCTTATATAGTCAGGATATGGGAAGGGGCAAAATGGGTTGTTTGTGCACCAGGTGTTGGTATAGGCAGGATATTAGGAAGTCATAAAGAGGATGTTTGGCAGGGTAAAGAGTTCATGAGTAAGAGGTCCAGGAAGGGGTTGCCTAAGTGACTGAGCCTGTGGGTGGAGGACTGGGTTGTTTCTTTTCTTGAGCTGAGGTTCTAAGGAACTGCTATGTAAGGGTTGACTATGTGGCCTGCCAAGCATGGCCTAGGATCTCATGCCAAGCCCTGAGATTTGGCCCCCAACAAGGGTCTACACAGACATACATAGATCTACACAGACATATCAATTTAATCCTAGATTTTGCATTTAAGAGAAAACATCCTGTATTTGTCTTTTTAATGGTGAAATAAAATTCTATTGTGTGTATGTACTTCATTTTCTTTACCTATTCATCTACTGGTAGATGTTTATTTAGACTGGTTCTATTCCTCAGCTATGTGACTAGTTTAGTAATAAAAAGGGGATGTGTAATTATATCTGTAATATGTTGATTTAGAGCCCTCTGGGTCTGTATCCAGGAATGGTACAGCTGGGTTACACAGTAATTCTACCTTAAGAAATCTCCAGATTCATTTCTCTATTGGCTTTTCCACTTTACATTTTTATACTCCCATCAGCAGTAAGGGTTCATGTCCTTGCCATCATTTGTTGTTTGCTTTCTTTTTTTAATAATATTTTTATTAACCGAAAATTCCTAGCAATATGTTTTCATCATATTCACTTTCCCTCCCCCAACTCCTCTTATGTCCTCCGTCTCCCTATCCACCCACCTTGTTCTTGTCTTTTTCCCATCCCTGTCTAAACATCCATTGAGCTCAGCTTGTGTTGTCTAACCACTTTTTTTTTTTTTCTTTTTTGAGACAGGGTTTCTCTGTGTTGCCTTGGCCGCCCTGGAACTCACTTTGTAGACCAGGCTGGCCTTGAACTCACAGAGATCTGCCTTCCTCTACTTCTCGGGTTAAAGGCATGTACCACCATGGCTCAGCTGTCCAACCACTCTTGAGCGTGGGATCTACCCTAGAGGTGGTCACCTTACCAGAGGCCACATCATTAAAGAAAACTAACTCTCCCTCATCTCTTAGCTATCAGATACCAATAACTCCTCATATAGGATGGGACTTCCTGCCCACCTGCCCCTAAGCCCATGCTGGGATTTTTGTCTGTGTGGAGCTTGTGCAGGTGGTGTGCATGCTCTCATAGCTGATGTGGGGTTTTATGTACATCTGCCATGCTGTGTCCAGGAAGCACTGTTTCTTTGAAGCTATCCACCCTCTGACTGCTACAGACTTTCTGCCTCCTCTTTCAGTAAGATCCTGTGAGCTTTGAAGAAAATACTGTACCAAAGGCACATTTGCATTGAAATCATAGTATTTTCCATGTCTAGAGAAGAGGTCCTCAGCCAGGTCCAAGAAGCCTGGAGAACAGCAGAGGTTGAGAATAGAAATTGTCATCACATATTATAGCTAGAACACTGAAAACAAAGGAAAGGGTGTTGGAAGCTGCAAAAGAGAAAGTTCGGGTTAATTACCCAGGCAGGCCTATCAGGATAGTGCCTGATGATTCAATAGAAATGTTTAGTCAGAAAAACCTTGAGGGACCCACCGCCAACCCGGACCATACTCCTCAGGAAAACTGTCTGTTCAGTTAAAGCAGCCATAAACGTTCTTTTCTAGCAGCCAAAGTAAAAGTAGTTACAGTTCTTTGTTTTTGAGGCTTCTCTCCAGGGCTGCTGTTTCATCTTTAACCATCATGCATGTCTTGTCTGTGCAGGCCCATAAATCTACCATATGGCAAGTTCGACACCTGCCTCAGAACAGAGAGCTCTTTCTGACAGCGGGAGGTGCTGGCAGTCTTCACCTCTGGAAGTAGTAAGTCCTCTTAAGTTACTTGTGGGTGTGATGTAGGAATCCATGAACTTTTCTATTTCTCCTTTAATATTCGGTTTAATTCATTTTAGTATGATTTTCATTTTCAGTGTTGTTATGTAACTGGCTTTCTGAATATTTTTCATTTACTAATGTATTTATTTTACATTTAATAAAATTTCTCCCTTATCTAGCACAATAAATATATTTGTCATGCTTATGTCTTTGTGTATGAGAACTACATAGGAAGAGTTGGGGTTCCCCCCATAAATTTGAAATTGTCGGTGGGCATGTTCATACCTATAAATCCCAGCACACAGAAGACAGGGCCAGGATTGCCATGAGTTTCAGGCTCTATAATGAGTCCCAGGTCAGCCTAGGTTACAGAGTAAGAGCCTATCTCAAAAATAAATAAAAAGAGGAAGGGAGAAGGGTGATAGTGGGGAATAACTTTTGCTTTTAAATTTGATTTGTTAAATACTATCTTCTAGCTATTAGAACATTACTTCTGGACGTTGGGGAGAGGGTTACATTGCTTCGGTTTGGGTAAAGTTTGTTAAATTCATCGTGGTAGAGCTGAAAGCAGCCAGAGGCTCCCAGTTGTCTGCAGATGAAGCCTCACTTGCTCAGCACTGAGTTTCTTTTCTATACACCTAGGCAGGATGAGTTACTGTGTGTGTGTTCTGAGATTCCCAAGGGCACTAGGTGCTAGCTCAGCTGCCAGTTCAGTGGGTCTTGTGCAAACTGAAAGTTTGGAAACTTTATTAGCAACAACATAAATCTCTAAGCATCACTCAGAAAATGTTAAGTTCACAACTGAAGGATATTTCAGAATTCAAGTTTGGTTACTACTATATAGAAAAAACAAAACAGCATGTTCAGTGTGGCTTGGATGTCCTTGTTTACAAACCTTCTTCACACTGCTTTTAGAAGCTAAAATGCAGGGCTGCCATAGGGAAGGACTTGTTAGAGAACTGAAGCCATTAACTGATAAGTTTGTGATTGCTTTTGATTGACACAAACATCGATGGAGTTTAATGCACTCCGTCCATCCTTGCTTCATTAAATATTGTGCTTTCTGTAAGTAAAAAGCAGTGGACATGTTTTGGGTGTTCTGCCATAATGCTGGGTAGATAGACTGTTTGATCCTCGAAGCTTTGCCCTTCATTCTTGGGTGGCTGTAACTCAGGTCAGGTATTATAAATCTTATTAGGTAAGCTGTGCTTGTTTCCTTGAGTCCCCCATTCTTGAGACTGCTAAAGGAGCCAGTACCAGTTTTTCATATGTGGGCACAGTGGCAGCTAGATTTTTTTTTTTTACTTTATGTTAATAAGGCTTGATCTGTATGCACTTAGACATTTGAAGTTTTTTTCTTGGCTTTCTTTCCCCTAAAATTAACCACTGTGTCTATGTGGAAGCCCAAAGCCACCATCAGGTCTCGTTCTTGATCAGTCTCACTTGGTTTGTGCTTTATCCACAGAGGGGTCTCCCCAACTCTAGGAGTTTATCTTAGGGTGACCATCATGATAAAATGCATTTGAGCTGGATTTCCACTCACCACTCTGCCTTGATAGTGCAGTCAAACTGTAAGCTTCACTGAACTCTTGACAGGCATTTCTAGAGAGGAATGAGGATGAGTTTTCAAACTTTATAAGGTAATAGGTAATGTAGAGATTTTAGAACCAATAATAATGCTTTGTTTTTTAAGATGGGGATCTCATTATATAGCCCTGGCTGCCTTGCTATGTAAACGAACCTGGCCTCAGGCTTTTGGAGGTCTACCTGCCTCTTCCTCTTAGTGCTGGGATTAAAGGTGCACATGACCACACATGGCCCTTATGTTTTAATACTAAATAACTGCAAGCTTTGCTAAGAAATGTGGGGCAAAATATTTATTTAAGGTGCATGTGTGGGTGTGTGTGTGTTTGTGTGTGGGTGTGTGTGTGTGTGTGTATGAATGAACATTTTGTTCCTTTTAAGTAAAATAATTTGTTGAGTCTAAAAGGAAGAGAAAGTGTTTTCTACTGTCTTTTCTCCTCCATTTCTACTGTCTGATTCCTTTGTGTCTTAGACTCTGGGTCTGGATCTTTTGTTTGTTTTGTTGCTTGGTTAGTTGTGGGCTTTTGCATTCACAAAGTGAATGATACACAGTGGGTTCTGAGGGGCCCTGTGAGGAGCTGTACCTTAGAGCACTGGTTTTCAACCTGTGGCTTGAATGACCCTTTTATATGGATCACATATCAGATATTTGCATTATGATTCATAACAGTAGCAAAATTACAGTTACGAAGTAGCAATGAAAATAATTTTATGGGTTAGGGGTCACCACCATAAGAGGAACTGTATTAAAGGGTCACAGCTGTAGGAAGGGTTAGAAACACTGTCTTGGAGCCTTAGAACACGTCTATAGAGGTTATTTCTCCCCCCCACAACCTTTCAGATCTACATCAGGTATTGTTTAGTTGTTAGTCTTTCCCTCTTCTTAGCTTAAAAGTTTATTTATTTACTTTTTTTTGCTAAAAAAAAAAAACAAAAAACATATATTCTCAGGATTGCTTTCTACTTTGTGAATGCAGTGGTTTTAAAAATCTCTTCGCAGTGGCATTCCCACAGTGATAGCACAGACAAGGTCCTTGGGCTGGGTCTGAATGGTGGACTCAGATCAGAGTGTGGTACCAATCCTTTCTTTGGAAGTGTTAAATGAGCTTTTATAAATGCTTCTTACTGCTTTCCCCTCTTACACATATTGCCCATGGTATCTAGCAATCCAAATTTAGGAAAGAGTTATAGTAAATATTACAGAGAGCACCATATCAGTCCCACCCACAGTGTTCATATTACAGGAAGCACAGGCAGATGCTGGGCAGAGGTGCTGTGTAGACGTCTGCAGGAAAAGCACTCACTGCCTAGGTGTGTTGGCTGAGGGTTCAGATTGAGGCAGTGTCTTAACTCACATAGGTCAGTGTTGGAAAGTCATAAGTGCTGGTTCAATAATCAGTTGAGAAATTAAAAGATATTGAACTTTGATCTTGTTTCTAGTGAATACCCTACTCATCGGTCAAAGAAGGATTCGGAGGGAATACAGATGGGAGTCGCAGGTTCCGTCAGCCTCCTGCAGAATGTGACCTTGTCCACTCAGCCCGTCTCCAGTTTGGACTGGAGTCCTGACAAAAGGGGGCTCTGCATCTGTAGCTCCTTTGACCAGACAGTGCGCGTGCTGATTGTTACGAAGCTCCAGACCATTTGACCCAATGCTTTGAACTTGACGTTTTCCAGAGGGTTACTCAGAATTTGAGCTATGTTCTACTTCCTCTTTCCTCATTGAAGACTTTGGATTTGACTGATGAATGACAGTCGATGGCACAAAGCCTGAGAGTCAGCCTCCAGTTTTTCTGGGTGTTTGGTGGCCCGACTGGTATGCTGCTGCATGTGAAGTTGCCACACAGCAGGGCCAGTTTTGTTCCTTCCCCCATATTTCTGCTAAAAAATGTTGGACCAGGTGCTGTGGTATTTGTTCTTCATCCCAGCTACTTAACAGGCTGAGGCAGGAGGATCATTTTAGTCCATAAGACAATGCTAACTTTCGCAGAATAGTCAGACCCTTCTTTTAAATACAGTTGGGGTGGCACTAAAGAGATGACTCGGTGATGGAGTGCCTGATGTCCTTACAGAAAACCCAGGTTTGGGTCTCAGTATCCGTATCAGGTGGCTTCCAATCCCCTATAACTCCAGCTGCAGGGCATCTGATGCCAATTTCTGGCCGTATCAGGCAATGGTCCTCATAGACACATGCACACACTTAGAGATTTTTAAAAATCTGTATTTAATTTTTATAAAAAAAAATCAAAGACAACCAAAGTCAGTAGTTATTTAACTGTATTTTTAGTTTCTTCTCTATCTCAAAAGTTCCATATTTTCTCTGTACGTTTGTGTTTCATTTTAGTGTTTCCATATTGTAGGAATCACTTAATTTGGTTTGTAAAGTACTGTAAACACTGTTTGACTGGACAGACTGCAGACCTTTTCAGCAGTGTAGCTGGTAAAACACTGTGACTTACAACCATCTCTTACTCAAATACATCTGTGAGTTAGTGGGACTTGGTTTGTTTTTGACTATGGTAAGCAAGATGAGCGGTTGAAGATTGGAGTGCTTTTTTTAAACCTTTAAAATATATTTTTTAAATAAAAAAGTTTTCAAGTCTGTAGAAGGTTTGATTCTTTTAATAGTAGTAAGAGAGCCAGACTGTTTGCTTTGTTTTCCCCTTTCTGAGTTCTTAGTACGTACCCTTAGCTCTCTGTTTTTGACTGTGGCCCACATCATAAGCTGAGCATCAGGATGAATGGCTTGGTCACACTTTGATTAAACCTGTGTCCCCCAGCTCCATCCAAAAGAACAGAGTCTCCTACAACATACATAATACCCTAAACTCATGAACTCTTTATTCCCAAAATGCTTTATAAGGCTGGGAGGCTGGGAGATGACTCAGTGGGCTAAGTGCTTGCTGTGCAAGGATGCACACCTGAATTCTGAGGACTCTTGTCTCAAAAAATACGGTGAAAACAGTCAGCCTTGACTGATGCCATATGCACAGGCACAAGTGGACATGTGTGAATGCACACATACAATAAAAATGGAGTTTTAAAAGGAACAAGGTAGTGGATATAATATCAAAGTGAAAATAAAACTAATCTTTAAAAAGGCCAGTTGGCTGGGCTGTGGTGGCTTACACCTTTAATCCTAGCACTTGGGGGGCAGAGACGGGCAGATCTCTGAGTTAGGGACCAGCATGGTCTACAGAGAGAGTTCCAGGACAAGGTCCAAAGCTGCAGAGGAAACCCTGTCTCGGAAAAAAAACAACAAAACAAAAAACCCTGAAAAACATAAAAGGACTGCTTGGATTTTTTTCTTCCTAATGTTCAAAGAAAAAAATGGAAAGTATATGAAAATTTGGCTTAGAATATTTGTTATTGATAATGTAGAAAGATTTAAGTAGAACAATTTATATATGTTTCATTAAATCTAAGATATCATCTGTAGAATTATCTTGTACCACAGAGGGGAAAAAAATGTCACCAATGACATAGATACCATGCTTTCTTATCAATTGATATATATATATATGTATATATATATATATGTATATATAAATATATATGTATATATCAGACATTGTTCCTAAGGTTTCATACATATTCAGCATGCATTAAAATAATCAGTTGTTAATTTTATTATGATTTGTATATGTTTATTATAATTATGCAATCTTGAGGAAATGGGCAAAAATAACTTGGTATAGTTAGTAGTACCCTCATATTTCTTCCCTCCTTCCCTCCCTCCCTCCCTCCCTTCCTTCCTTCCTTGGTTTTTCAAGAATTTCTCTGTGTAACCCTGGAAGTACTGGAACTCGCTCCATGGCTGCTCTCCCAGAGATCCACCTGCCTCTGTCTCCTGAGTACTGAGATTAAAGGTGTACACTGCCATCACAAGACTGTTTTAAACATTTTTGAACCAGGCTGGCCTTGAACTCCTGATCTCCTCTTTCTGCTTCAGGTGTGTGCCATCATGCTCAGCTCCTTGGGATTCCTTTTTTTCTTTCTATGTAGCCCTAGCTGGCCTTAACTAACAGATCTGCTTGCCTCATGACTCAACTGCTGGGATTAAAGCTATGTGCCACCACACCTGGTCTCATATTTCTTAATATACAGAGTCTGAACCTTTAACTCGCTTTAAAATTTTTGTTTATTTCTTTTTAAAAATTGTCTTAGTGTTTTCTAAATTCCTTTTAAATTCAGAGTCATTAGTATTCATTATTACAGTATTGTCCTCTGTGCATAGCAAGTTGGTGATGGGCCTGGAGAGACGGTTCGTGCCTGAGAGTGTGTGTTGGTCCTCCAGAGGACCCGAGTTTGATTCCAGCACACAGGCAGCTTACAACTTCCTGTAACTCCAACTCCAGGGAATCCAACACCTCTGGGCTTTGCACACATGATATGCACTCACACAAATATAAATTACTGAAAATTAAGAAAACAAAATGTAAGTGTTATTGCGGTGGTGAATAAGACTGGCCCCCATAGGCACATTTTTTTGGGGGGGGGATGCTTAGTCACAAGGAAGCAAAACAAAGAACTAGGAGGTGTGTCCTGTTGAGAGAAATACTGTTCCACTATTATTTCAGGAATTGAATAAATTTCAATAAATTTTTTAAATTGTCTTTTATTCTACAAACTTTGAGGTACAGATGGGAGGGTGACAATTGTCAGGACTGCTTCCAAATGAACCAAAAAGAGTCATGAAACTCACCCTAGTCCACATGTCTGAAAATGCCACGAAGTTATGTCATTCCAGCCCTGAACCAGAAATACAAATGTTCCAACTGGAACTTCATATGTAACACGGAATGAGCCCTAAAGGTTCCAAGTGATTTTCTTTGCCAACAGGTGCACCCTCTTGTGCATGCCACTGTACAATATGGCAGGTAGCAGTATTGAAGGTTTCCTGTGTTTGAACTTAAGAGACAGATGTTGGCAGTAGTTAGAAGTAATTTGTCCAGACGTCAATGAAGCTGAAAGGCCTCATATTGAAACAGGGAGGCCCTAAGATGCTATATGCATTTTGCTGCAAGTTTGTTGGCTTCTTTAGAATTACACACTTAACAGAGAGACTCTGCCAGCTGCAGTAGTGAGTTATGTTGTAGGGCTAAGACCTCCCAGGTAATGCTACCTTGTAAAGATGTCCTTTTCTCTTTGATCACCAGATTGCCCCTGAAATAAGTGAAATAATACTATGCAGCCATAGTATAATCTGCACTCTGTGATCAGGAACCACGGCTAGTTTAAAAGAAAATGTGGAGGCTGTTAGTCTTTAGCAATGCTTTTAAAGAGCCCCACTGGTTCTTTTTGCCCAAGAAGCCTCACCCTGGATGGCTGATCACTTATTGTGTTGAGTAGAGTCACTACACTAATCCTAACATTAAACTGCCAGGCCTGGTTTGAACAGAATTCTCCCAGTTAGGCCATAGCAGCAGTCCCAGTAAGACAGGGTAGGGACTGACACTAATTCTAAAAGACCTGAGGCCTTGGACCCATGTTGTTCTCAGACAAGCTAGGACCTCATGGCATTAGTCCTGACCCATGTGTACCCCCCATTGCACCCCTGGATAGTGAGAAACTCCTTGACAGTTCACCAACCCCATCTCCCCTATGAACTCTGATCTGTTTCACTGCATAGGGTCTAGAGCAGTGCTTCTCAACCTTCCTAATTCTGTGTGTTGACCCCAACCATAAAATGATTTCATTGCTACTTCATAACTGTAATTATGCTACTGTTATGAATCATAATGTAAATATCTTATGCTACATGACCCCCGAGAAAGGGTCATTTGCCTCCCAGAGGGATTGAGAGCCACAGGTTAAGAACCACTGGTCTGGAGAAAAGAGGAACTGCTTGTCCTCAACCCAGCAGCAGAGAAACACTTGTTAACCAGAACAGCCTGGAGAGCATAGATGCAGGGCATCCCTGCAGTGCCCTGACTATTGGTTCTTATTTTGCATCAAATATCAACATGAAGGGGTGTGGTTTTATTTTTTGTTCACAAATTATAAAGAAAGGTTTAAAGTAAATACTACTTTTGCTCCTAAGAGAAACTTAGAAATAGCTATAGCCAAGTATCTGACCAAATACAGTCTTTACACAATTGTGATAGGGCAATGTCATTAAAAAAATCATTGAACAATTGAACTTTGTATAACATCCCAACTTAGCCCTATCTCAAGCCACTTCAAAACCAAACTGCTCGTCAGGGCCTCCACACACAGTGAATGAAAAATGATGAAATGACAAAGCAAGCCATTAAAAAGATCTGTGTGGCCGGGCGTTGGTGGTGCATGCCTTTAATCCCAGCACTCAGAAGGCAGAGGCAGGCGGATCTCTGTGAGTTCGAGGCCAGCCTGGTCTCCAGAGTGAGTGCCAGGATAGGCTCCAAAGCTACACAGAGAAACCCTGCCTCGGAAAAAAAAAAAAGAGAGATCTGTGTGTTTTATTCACACCTGTCCTGTTTTCTCAAGGTATCTCTACTCATTAGGTTTACTGCATAAGGGTTCTCTAGAGGAAGAGAATTGATGGAATGAATTTACATCCCAAAGAGGATGTGTTAGATTGGCTTATACAATAGGGTTGGGTAGTCTAACAATGGCTGCCCTCATGCCAGAGAGGCTGAGAGCCTAGACTACTCAGTTCACAAGGCTGGATGCCTCCAAATGAAGTCCTGAAGGATTTCCAGGGCATCCCTGGTCTTCCATCTATGTTTGAAGGTTAAAGAAGCTGGGTTCTGATGACAGCGGCAGCAGTGACCATGGAGTAGATGCATGTGCTAGCAGGAAGTGAAGGTGGCCGGTAAAAAGCAGCACTGCTTCTCCCTCAGGCCTGTACCAAGCTGCTGCCCACTCTTGAGGAGCTTCCCCCTCAGTCAGTCTTAGCAGGGACACCGAGGAATGGTTCTTGGTTGATTCACCTCCAGTTGACACCAAGGTCAACCATCATAATAGTCTTCAGCTGTAAGTAATTGAAAACCAAACTATAGATTTTCCTTGCTCTTGTCACAGAGCTTGGCACAGTTTGGCTGCCATGGCAGCTCCTCTCCCTCACTTCTTTACCATTTTCACTATGTGTTTTTCACCTTAACTGCCCAACATGGCACTGAGACTTCCATCATCATGCCCACACCCACCCCATCAACAAAATAGGAAAATAGGGACAAAAGACTCCTTGGTGTTTGAAAGACTGTTCCTCTGCTTTCATATTGGTCATAGTGCCACATACACTGTAATGAGACTAAAACAGACCCATTTGTACAATAATGGTCTTATGCACACACTGTTGCACTCATTCTGCCTGATAGACAAAGCTTAAGGGAGGAAGGATTGTGGAGGCCCACGGAAGTGGCTCCATTCCATCTTGACATAAGGTCAGAGAATTTGAGCCTATTATTACTCCTTCAAGGTTAAAAGGCAGGATGTTTGGCTTAAGGTGTGGCTACCAGAGGATGTTTTGCCTAAGGCGTGGTCAATGGGTATCTTACCTAATCAATGGGATATGTAGGGTGTGGTTATTTGATGTTTTGGGTATTAAGGAGGTAATTACATTTGTTTGTTCCTGTGTCACAGTAAGGAAGTCTTTTGCCTTCCTCCCTTTTGATTAGGGTAT